CTGCTTCCAGCCGCTTCTTCCCACTGGCCTCTTCCTCCCGCCCGGGAACGGGGCGGAGGCGAGCGGGGGGCGGTTTTCGGCTGGGGTTGTCTCGCCGCCGTGGCGGAGAGGATGTACCGGGGCGCCGGCTTCCCGTCCGGCGGGGAAGAATCACTAAGAAAAAACATAAATTAATGCACTCATGTCGTGATAAAAGCACCTTTAGGCCTCTCTACCGTAAGCGCGCGGATGAGACAGTTCCCTCCCTAGTGGAAGTGCAGCTGAGGACTCAGCAGGCCGGTGCTGTGACCGTAACTAAAAAAATCACAGAATCAATTAAGTTGGAAAAGATCTCTGGAGATCACCGAGACCAAGCTGTGACCCAAGACGACCTCGTCAGGTAGACCATGGAGTGCACGAAGTGCCACATCCCGTGTCAAGCACCTCCAGGAACAGTGACTCCACCATCTCCCTGAACAGTCCATTCCAGAGACACACATCACCTGCTGTGTGTCTCGCCAGTCTTCAACACATCTGGGGACTCCACCATCTCCCTAGGCAGTATATTTCAATGTTTTCTGTGAAGAAATTCTTCCTAATGTCCACCCTAAACCTCCCCAAGCTGAACTTGAGGCTATGTCTGCTCATCCTGTTGCTGGTTTCCTGGGAGAAGAGGCCAACCTGACTACAACATCCATTCAGGTGGTTGTAGAAAGCAGTGAGGTCTCCCCCGAGTCTCCTCTTCTCCAGGCTAAACAGCTGCTCCTCACAAGACTTGTGTTCCAGAAAAGGCATCCAAATTCTGGCAGCACTTGCCCAAGAACACAGACATGGTTCCAAGGTGGTGCTGCATGGCCTCCTTGCGGCTCCTCTCCCTCCTGAGGTCTCCCTGCCTGCTGGAGGCTCTTACAGGGCTGGCAGCTGCAGGCACCTGCAGAGGAGGGAAGGCAGGGACATTCGAGGCCATGCAACAGCTGCTGGTCTTGTGGTGTGCAGCAAGGGAAGGAAACCACCGAGCCTGGTCAGGGCATCCAGGTTTTTATTTTTCTTAAGCACAAAAAATACCACCTGCTGGTCTGGAAGACAGTGTTGTTTGGCAACCAAAACCAAGTAGAAAAAAAATCTTTTACATTATGTCAAGAAGAGATCTTTGCAGATTTCCCTGTAAGGACTTGATCCGGACCAGTTAGAAGCACAGACTATTAGTCAGCATGTTTAGTCACGAAGCAAACATTTCTCTCTGTACTCTTGAAGTACAGTTTCCAGATGGCAGCCCAAATTGATCTCCTTACAAACACAGCATGAGCCTTCTAAACTAATGCTTCATATTTTGCAAATTGAATCTGTATTATCCATAATAAGGGCTTACTTGGTTTCTCTGGAGAATATGTTGTCAGTCGTATGAATTCAGTAAAGCTAGGAGTGCACCATTTATCAATAATTTTAACATAAATGTCTGTCTATGTGTCATTTAGAGATGAATAGCAGAACATCTCTATGGAAACAGTACAGCTATAGTGCAACCAAGAGAAATAATGTTCCATATCATAATCACAAAGGTAGCTTGCAAAAAAGAGAATTCTAAAGGCATAACAAGCATATGTGTTGTGTTATTCAGAAAAAAAAAGTGGTAGGAAAAATGTTAACCTTTTACACTGAAATGCCTGCACACAGAGAGCAAGAGCACACACATTAAGGAACCTAGTCTGTAACCACATTCTTTTAGGACATCCCTTTAGCCCAGGGATAAAGAGAAGTCAAGATGCAGGACCTTGTGACTGGTGGGCATTGGCACATTCCACCTGTCTCTGCAAATTGGCCAGAGGCCTTCTTCTAGGAGCAGTGCAGGCCACTTCAATCTGCTTCAGATTCTGCAGCTTGTCCAGCACCAGCAGAAAACCTCTTCAAGTGCAGGTATAGGTGGAGGTGAATGTCAAAGTTAAAAAATAAACAAAAAGCCCCCCATGCCCCCCAATCCACTAAAAACCAAAACAACTACAACCAACCAAACAAACAAATAAAAAAAGGAAGAAAATAATTGCAAATAGTTGATCCAGCTATTCATTCACATTTAAAAACTATACCTAGACCTGTGAAGGACTAGAAAATACTCACTTAATTTCCCTCTTCCATTCATTTGTATTTTCCTATATTAGTTTTTATATTCCTGTATATCTAACTTTAGGTAGGTACAACACTGACCATGAAATTTGGGTATATGAAGAAATTACATGAAAAGCTGAATTTAATGGATGCAGATGGCAATATCACAGTTATAGTTTAGAGCAAGGAACAAATATAAAATCTGACACATTACAGGCTAGCTGTAGGTAGCAAAGTAAAATAATGTAGGCCAGAATTTTGTCAGACAACAACTGCTGTTCTGAAAGTTTGTCTTAAATATTTTATGTCCACAGAGGAAATACTGTTTCAGTTTAGTAGTGCCATTTAGTGCTTTGCTGCAGCATTTGGGTTAGAATGATTCCAGGAAGAATAATAGTACCCACCTGAAAAAAACCAATTTTCTTTGTTTCTTGTAAAACACAATGAAATGTTTGTTTTTTTTCCAGACAATTCCTTAGTCATTTCAGCCTTCCTTATTTTATAGTATCTGTTAGGGCACTAGAGCTGTACACCACAATGGTTGAAATAAATAAAAGTCTCTTGAAATCTTGCCTTTTAAAAATCCAAAATTAGAGGCCAACATCTCTTAAGCTAAAAAGATACTGCATTCTGTTTGATTTTCTGCCACCATCCATTGCAAAGAACATACCAGTACCTGAGTTCTCTCTTCTGAACATGAGAAATAAAGAAAATACCATTGTTATTATCACATTTAGAAAGCCTCAAAAAACCCCAGGAGTCAACACTATACATCAGTGCGTACACCACATTACGATTTCATGGCTACAAATGAAATGAGAAGTGAAGAACAACTCTCTTTATTCTTTTATAATTTCTTCCAGATAATCCTTAAAGAGTAGCAATAGAAAGATTACATAGATTATGGAGAATGTCAGAGAATTGTTATAGCAGAGGAGAGCTGTTAGTAACTGGAATGTACAGGGCTGGAATGTACAGTGCTTTGGTGTTGTTTGGTTGTAGTAGACAGGTGCTGTGTACATGCAAGAACTGGGTATTTGAAAGCAACTGTTGCAGTGTGATGCATTTCTGACTCAAGCAACTTGTCTGGAGCTTGTGGGATAAATTCTCCTTGTTTGGGATATGTTCCATCAGTCAAATTTGAACTAAAAAAAGACAGAGAGAAGAACTGAAGTGGATGAAGAGATTTCTTACAATCCAAATTCCTCCAAAGATTCAGATTTGGAAAATCAGGTGACTGGAAGGCTCCATTACTGGTTATGGGCATGGATACTGAAATTTTAACTCAACAGTACATATTTAGACAAAAAGTAGGGATAAGTGATGGCTTGTGGAAAAAAATACACTCACAAAGTTTTATAAATTCATACTGGACCAATATGAAACATAAACTGTCTTCTTAACTGTTTATTCTCCTTTAGTATTAACTATGGAGAAGAGAGTATCTCCATTCTTTGAATTACAGTGAACATATACATTTTATTGTTTTATATTTAGACTAAGAGAGGAGTCAGGTGTCAAAGGATTGCCCTTAACTTTTGTCTGCCCCAACTTTTCCAGCTGTGCAGGGACTATGCTATGCCTTGCTCCAGAAAGCGCAAATAGGAGACACTCCTGAGCTTAGTAGCAGACTAATAGCATTTTAAAAGTGGCTATCTGTTTTTTCACTTCTCATCACAACGATATATAATTCCCAAAAGTTATAACATCCTGGGAGTGGGCAGTATTTCAAACTCAGAAAAATCCAAAAATGCAGGAAAGGGAGTTTCATAGTATGTTTGCATGCAGTGCACTAGAGGGCCCTCAGGAGTTAGAAATAGATGGAATGCACTTCTGAAAGGCACATACTTCACAGGACTTTTCATTACAGAATTTAAAAAAGAAGTTGCTGTGGTTTTGTTTGTGGGGTTGTTTGGTTTGGGTTTTTTTTTTACAATGTGAAGTTCATGTGAGTTTATAGCAGTTCATATGCAAGCATCTCACAGTAAAGTCAGCTTCTCAACAGTTCTTAGCTTGCAATGAAATACCTAAATGTGAACCATACTTAAAAGTGAAATATTTTCTAGATGCCAGCTTCTACTCATTTACTTTTATTAACCTAAGGAGTTTACCAGAACAAAGGATGTGTCAAGCTGAAGAGGTAAGTAATTTTAATTTTATAGCAATATATATACAGTGAGCACTTATTTTTTGTTTCTTGGAAAAGATATATAAGCCACTGTCCTTTTATTTTAAAAAGCTATAGCTAGATTATTTTTATGGCTTCACAAGAGTGAAGAGTATTAACCATCTTTCAGTTTTAATGTGTGTTTAAGAATTATGGGAACTACATTCATAGTCAACTAGGAAAATTTGGCACTGTTAATATATTTTTATATTAGTGAGGATATGCATATTTAACTACTAGTCCCTGGTTCATATTTGGATCATTTACAGCATTTCCATAATGTGAGGTTTATTGAAGACTTTGTCTTGTAAGAAAAAGATAATGATCTTGGTTTAACAAGCATTTCTTCTAGTGCTGGAATACATCCAGCTGAGATTGAAAATTGAGCTTGTATTTAATAGTTTTGGTGTTTGATTTATACTGTAATGAGAAAGTAAAAGGTGTATCCTGACAAATTCCTACATGCATACTGTCTCTTTTCTCTGAAAAATATAGAGCCACAGATGCTATGTGTGAGTAATGAAAGGAAATGCTACTATTTTCTTTTTGCAGTTTGCAAAGAAGATACATAGATCTTTTAGAGTACAAGTCAGTAAACTCTGCTTACGCAGCTGGCTCCATTCATTCTCTGAAGCCAATCACTTCCCCTGTGGTGGCTGATAAGAATTTAACAGTTTGAGAAGGTGGAGTGTCAGCATCCTTAGTACTGACCACGTTCCCAGTCGTATTGGTAGCCTCTGTCCATCACCCATGCTGGAAGCTACTTGGAAAAGGAGAAACAGAAATTGGGGAAGGGAAATCATGCATCATCATCCTGTCTGGAATGTACAGAAGACTTTGTGCTGTTCTCATCATGTGGATTCACTAGAGAAATGACCCCTTTTGATCAGCCAAGTAAAATCAAAAACTTGTTTATTTGCTGCCTGTGGCCCTCACGGGTGCTGAGGCTCTGGACTTGCAGGCGCCCAAGGACAAGGAGGAATCTGCTAGTGGGCACAGCCTGTGTGATCTACCTGGGATTCCTTGTCAGCCAAGTGGGTCACGTTTTACCGCAGCACAAAGGAGGACATCAAAAGATCAATTCCAGGAGTCTCCAAGATGCAGCTCAAACTCCCTTTCTGGGCATCCCACTGGATGGCACCCTGTCACCACCCAATTTCCAAGAACCCCAGCTTGATCGCAATGGAACCTTGCTGCCACCCAATGTAGTTTATATCACCCTGCGGTCCAAGCGCAGCAAGCCTGCCAACATCAGAGGCACAGTGAAGCCAAAACGCAGGAAGAAGGATGCCACCCGTTTGTCCTATGGGCATCACTTTCCAAAAGCCACTTTCATGGGCTGGGAAGAGGCCTTTGCCCAACAGGCAGGGAGGGCCACACATGCTGCAGGCACAATGGGAGCAGCGATCGCTCTGGAGGCAAGCAAGTACCAACTGGATGAACACAGGCATAAAGGAATGGCTATCAGGGAGAGAGGTCACCAGAGACCTGGGAGGATTTCTGGAGCTGTAAAGGCGCAGCTCCAGCCTCAGGAAAGCAATATCAGGATTTACAGCGAGAGCCCTCCCTCATGGATGAGCAAAGATGACATCCTAAACATGCGCATGCTGGCAGATTCTCCCATAGAGAGCATTCAAGAACTACCTTCGCACAAAGCAGTCTTGGTAGTATTTGCAAGAGGTCCCAGCACCATGGGAACTGCTTGTAATCAAGGACACTGTGGAATTGTCAAAAGACCTCTCGACATGAGTGAGGTGTTTGCCTTTCATTTGGACAGGATCTTGGGGCTAAACAGGAGCTTACCTTCTGTAAGCAGGAGATCAGAGTTCTTCCAAGGTAACACGTTTGCATGGTTTTCAGCTTGCAGGTGCAGAGGTTTCCTTCCTGATCTGCATTAGCCATGGGGAAGCAGCAGCCACCCCCTTTAACTCCTGCGAGCCTGAGGACTAACCCCATTGTTACAGGGAAATAAAGCCAGTGTTTGTGTGTAACTCATGCTGTGCAGTTATCCTCTCCAAAGGATGAATACCCCAAAGTTTGCAGCAAATAGAGTTGCTGAGGGCAGTAACAGTTTCCTCACACAAGTCTGAAGCAACAAAAAAGAGAAAGAGCAATCTGTAGATTGCATTACACTTTACAGACTACCTGAAGTGAAACTGATGAAAGAGATTCCAGAATCTCTGTGATTCAATAGGCATTTCTGATTTTTTAAAATAAACTTCACATCTTTCAGAATCGACTTTGATAAAATACTGTTGGAACTTGTCACAGAAATTCATCTCTCAGGTGGCAGGAATGGGGTCAGATAATCTTCTTGGAGAGGTAGGGAACCTGCCTGCAGAAGTTTGAATCTCCTTTTAAGGCACTAATCCCTTTGGGAACTGGAAAATTTTAAAAGGTGCTTCCCTTTCCTCTGGTTGTTAATACCCAACAAACTAAATTTCAGTGAATTCTGCTATACATTTTGAGGTTTACTGCACACATCTATATATTATCCAAAGAAACACACATAGTAAATATCTCAATATGCCTGTTACATGATTAGTATAGTTTCCAATTAAAAATTGATTTTTAATCTTTAGTGACATTAAAGGTAGAATTCAGACATGTAATGTTAGAAGTCTACTTTAAAATTGCTAGCTTCTGTAATATGTCTTCAGCATAAGTCCTATTTTTGTACAGTCACAAATCCAAAAGGACTATGTTTCATTTTAGTGAATCATTGCAAAAGTAGCTGGTATGTTTTTGCTGTTCATTTTTTTCTTTGAAATCAGCTTATACCAAATATTTTTATACCAGTCTGCATTTCTTAAAAAGAAAAGTAATGCTAGAATGGTTTTCTAAAATCTCACAGCAGGAAGACAGCCTCGTGATCTCCAGTGTCTTCCTGCTTTGTAAACCTTCCCTTTGGCAGCCTGTACAACAATGGGAATGAATCTCTAGGAACAACAGTTTGGAGGCTTCTGAATATTATTCATACTTGCAGAGCATGGAAGATACATTATGCCTATTTTATTTTTAGGAACAAGATCTATTGCTACAGAGCTGTCATAAGACATTAAGATAGCTCAGATGGGGAAGCTCTGCACAGTGTGGCTGCAGAGATGACAGACTGCAAACCTCGGAAAACTGCTATTAGGCTAATTGTGCATTGTGTTGCTCAGTGTCTGTCACCTTACAGTATGTTTTGGACTGTCTGGGACAGAGTGTGTCATTCTGTCCTCTAATTTTCTTTTCCTCATAACTGGCTAAGTTCCTATTGCAAGAGGAGTGTTGCTAGGTGATGAGAAGAGAAATAACACTATTTTGGTCTCACTTCATTTTTTCCAGCTAAAGGCCGAGCAGAGCACTTGGAACAGTGACTGCACCTTGTCTCTCATGATTTCTTTAGCCTGGAAATATGCTGGAACTCAGATTCCTAATAACTACTTGAGCTTTTTACTATTTACGTGCTTGTGTGAAAATATTTGTGTTAGGAAAATGAGCAAAAATATAGTTCTTAAAATAATATGAGCAATTATAATTTAAATGACTTATTTGTGTTTAAGTTAAGATAGGTGGGTTCTGTAAAGTTTTTTACAGAGTGGCTTGTGTGAATCAGTTATTCACATGGAAAAGCAAGCAATGCAGGATTAGAGACTGTGCATGTGTGTATGAATGTACACTATTTCTGGGCTGACAAATCTCTTTCTCCCCAACACATCCCTTTAGCTTGCCTCAGTTGTGATGTGATCCAACAAGACATGTTTGATGTAGCATTAAAATCTTAAAAAATGGGCTTTTCAAAACTGTCATTCATTTTGTCAAAAGCAGTTTCAAAGAACTGCTTAGTAAATCCCTGAACAGGTTCTATTTCCCTTATTCCCACAGATCTGATGTTGACTTTTTTTTAAAGTCTAGCAAAATATTGTATTCAAGTTCCCTGTTTGCTGCCCTCACCTTCTCTAGTTAATTGCAAACCCTTTTAAGTGTTAACTGATTTTTTTTTTGTGGCTTGTCTAATTTTTCTATCAGGCATTCTGGATGGAAAAAGCAGGTATGGTAACTCTTTCTCTCATACTTTTACACTGAATTGACTGAATGTTAAAAGCCTGAGTAGTATAGGTACTCTACTATCCCTTTTGAAAACCCTTTTGAGCTGGGCATTACAGTCTAAAAGAGCATGATTTTGTGCATACACAAACAATCATTTGTTACTTCCATTGCTACCTATGAGATGTGAAAAATGTTCTCCAAACACCTATAAAAAAAGAAGGGAAAGCCTGTAAGACACCAAGAAATAATCATAAAATTATGTCACTTGTGGAATAAAAGAAGGCTGACCTCTATGTGTCTGAGTTTTGGGTGGGTCACATTAATACTACAGCACTAGAACACTTCATTATCTCATAAGCGAACAGAAAGCACATAAGTGACCTTGCTTGGTGTCACAGCCCTACCTTAATGACCTTTGCACAGGAGCTAAGTCAAACGAGTGCATGCATGGCCTCCAGCTGAGGAACTGCATTTGCCTGGTGGGACTGTAGCAGTATTTGTTAGGCTTAAGCTACAGCTGGAGCTCTTGGGCTGGGGCAGCCTGGCTTCTTTGTCTCAGCTGACAGCTGTAAGGACAGCACTCTGGCTCCTTGGATAGCAGCAGCGAGGCTGGGCTCTTTGTTCAGCTTTTGGTACAATAGCTGTTGCTATGCTGTTGGGTTGCACCACTTACTGAGGGACTAAACTACTGTGTGCTGATGGCTACTTCTCTTTCCCTATGTTTTCTGATATCTTGAGTCTGATTAAACTGTGAATAATAAGCACTGGTGTACTCAATCCTCTATTTGTCCAGAACCTTTTCCCTTTTCCCTTTTCCCCCCAAATATGGAAGAAACTCTTCCTTTAAGTAACATCTTTTATGGCTGGTTTAGTGCAAATGGATGAATGACATGATAGCTCCACTGGTTACACTTATTTTGCTTTACTGGCCTCTGCAGGACATCTTTTATGTCCTAGTTTTTTCTGTGTTATACCCTGTGCTATCAGCCTGCTGTTGCTATCCCACCAACAATTATGCAATATGAATCACCAATTTCAGGACAAAGAATAAAAAAATAACACTGCTTTATGCATTCAGAGTGCTCTAAAATACTTCCACATAGTGCTGTACCTCTCAAAGGGGTACGAGAGGCATATTTCCAGTATTCTGTTGGGTAGAGAAGTTCGTATACAAGCAATAATGCAGTCCATATTCTAGAGAGCAACTAATGCACATTTCATGCATTCCTTAATACTGACATCCATATGAGCACAGGACAGGACATTGCAATGATGTGCATAGGGAAGAAAGAAAAATAAATGGCCTGACTTCTCTCTGCTCTCTGCTTCTGTTCCTTATATTTTCCCTAAAAACTGAAACTCTCAAAATTGTGTTCTGTATGCTGGTCCCTCTCATTTTCCACACTAAATTATCCTTTCTTGCTAGTACATGGACAACTAAACTCTTGCAAATGTGGCAGAGGTGGGATGCACTGCCTTACAGTGAACAATGGTGAGTTTGAGAAAGGGCTGTAACTACCTCATGAAAGATTTTCTGGTTTTAGTGTTGATCTTCTGTGCATGTTTGAAAATATTTTCTTTTGGGGAAGTTAGAGAAAGTGCTGTAGCTATAAGTCAGAGCACAAGATGAGAGTAATGTTTGCAAGAGCAAAATGTGGTTCCTAACCACATGAAGTTCAGAAGCATGCAGTTTATTTTCAGAGTGATGTGGGGTGTGGAAATCTAAGATGATGCCTGTGTTGAAGAAGCCATGCAGCAATACCGAGTGGCAGATGAAGCAGTTTGAGTACCTTGACATGGTCTAGTCTCAGTAGCCTGAGGTTTCATCTGTGTTAGCTTATTCAACATAGCTAAGACATTTTTAGAAATGTTCTCTGATGTTCAAAAATGTGTATGAATTACTAGGAAGATGGTTTCAGCATGAGTTTAGAAAAATCTTTCCCATAGAATTTTGAAGATTGCCTCTGGATAGATAAGTAGATATATAGATCTAAAATAGCAGATAAAAATAAAATGAAGCCATTCAGCTCTGGATGAGATTCAGTGCAGTGCAGCTGCAGCAACAGAAAAGCAGTACCCCTCAGTGTTAATATGTAAAGCTGACTAGGAAAGAAGCACATACAGAACACACTGGACTTTTTCTGAAATGTGCTTCACCTTCCCTGTAGGTCTCTTCACTGTTGAGGTAACTTCAGCCCCATCCTAATGAGGTTTGATTCAGAAAAGCTCCGCTGATTTTTTTTGGGTCATACCAATTCATGAAGCTGTGCATCAGACCCCTTATCTGCTTTAATTCAGCATCTTCATGTTTTTCCTGCAAGTGTCAAAAATTTGAGTCACAGCTCTTTACTGAAGCTGCTGTTTCATATTCCTGTAATCCAATTTATATTACAGAGTTGAAAGATTTTTTTTTTTGGATCATCTTTTCTGCTCCCATTTCCTTTGAAATGCAAACATTTCCTGTATTTAACCTTAGTCTTTTAAAAATGTTTTTGTATCTTAATGGAAACTGGCATGAAATTATTCATAGTTTTCAAGTATTTATATTACCATTGTTTATCATGTCCTTTTTGGGTAGACAAGAGATGTTTGTTTTCTTAGAAAAATGTTTATGTATTTGATTTGTGGAAGAATTCATGAATAGTTACATAAGTTGTTACTGGAGATAAAAAAAATAATAGGTCAGATTTGGTCCTGAGGAAAGCTGTCCTTTTTTTTTCTGTCCTTTTTTTTTTTTTTTTTTTTTTTTTTTTTTGAGAATTTCCAATGCTTAGATAGACTTTCTCCATGTTTCTTGGAAGAGGAAAAGCTACCCATATCTGACCTAACTTGAGTAAAGTCATGTACAATGTAGGTGATAGAACCAGAGTGAGAGATCTGGAGAAATGGGTAGGATTTCCCAAATAAGTTATCTAAGTCTTTATTCAGGCACCTCAGTAGAGGAGAAGCCTTATTTTCAGGAGTGTTCAGCTCAATTTTTCGGTGGAGGAGAGTATGGAGCATGGTGCTGATAAAGGTAATCCAGATCATAAGGAAAGAATGATTGATGTTCCTAATGGAAAGACACATTCTGTGTTTCTTAGGAACACTGGGCAACGGGGAAGGAAGTTAAAGAGGTGGTGGGTTGTTGGGCTGGCTTGGCTTTGGAAGGACTGCCTTGGTTGCGCAAGCCAAAGCAGAGAGAAGACCAGGTACATTCTGCTTTGGAAAGGAGTTGGCTTTTCTCTTGGGCTGGATTGCATGTGGGGTTGCTCTGTCATGCTTGTTTGCTGAATGGGAAATGGAACTTTGCACATGTTCCAGTGCTAGGTACAGGCAAAGATCCTTTCTTACCTGTTGTTTTGCAACAGTCAGCATCCTTTGAGCGAGTTGCGTTTCGATTCAGCTGTGTGGAGATTGCTTTTCACAGTCCTGGCTGCTTACAAGTGGAGCACCGACATTGGCAGCTTACCTCACTGTTGGAACCGATACCTGTTTTCCATGGGTTCTTTTCTGTCTGGTTTGCCTCTGAAGAAGGTGGCCTGGACCTCTTGCCTTCATGTGTTTCTAAAATCTAAAATTCTAAAAGATCTTTTTTACAGATCTGTCTCTGTCACCATGGGCTCATGGAAGACAAAGAGACAATTTAGGCTGCACTTAACTATGCAATAAATTGTGCAATAGTGTAGACTAAGTTCATTGAACTTCAAGGTGAATATGAATAATTTTTAATATACAAGCAATGATCAGTCATGGGTCCTTGGCAGTTTAAGCAGCAGTAGCATTGCATCAGGAATAAAAAGAGGATTTCCTCATAAGATAGATATGTCTGTTCCTTGATGCTATGTGAAGTATATTTATCAGTTCTTGTACTGGAAAAGCTAATTTTAAATTCTTTGACGAGGTTTATTCTCACAGTGAAGCTGAACAATAGAATTCACCAAAGAGAAGTCCTCTGTCTTAGTTTCATGGAAGAGAAGAATATTCTTTACACAGAAGAACTAAAGAATTTGGGTAAAATATCTGCTATACAAAACAGATCTCATATATAGGTAAAAACCCCCAAACTTGTCAAGTTGTTTATTCATGCTAAGCTCACACTCTCTAGTATTCTTGTATATCCTTTCAGAGCTGTGGAGTCATACGTTGTCGGTTTAAAATACTAAAAATTGGAAAATAAATCCACTTACAGTATAGGGTTTATGGTGTCTCTATGTCCATTATATTGATAGAAATTTCCAGCTCTTGAAAATCAGCAGTTCACTGGAATCAGAGGGAAATTATATTGTTGATTCACAGTGGCACTGTTGACTTTTAACCTACCTAGGAACTTTTTTAATAGTTTGGTTTAGTGTATGATTTTGTACATTAATCTCTTGCTTCAAACAAAGAAAGTCTTCCATATGCTGAAGGCATTTATGCCTATGCTTCCATTCCTGTGGTGGCTGGTTATGGATGTGGATAGGACCACATTAACCAAAGAATGTCAAGATATTAGTCCCTGGTAGGTTCTTCTGCCAGATCTGTAAAATAGTATAATTACTAATTCTTGGGCCGTGTCTAAAGAAAAATAAAATAAAACTGACAGTATGACACTATGATAATGATATTTTTTTCCTTTTTTCAGGGGGTCAAGCCTGTCCTGTTATTCTCTGGGATTCCTCACTGAGTCCAACAGATAATAGTACCCATTCTTCAGTGAGGTTAACGTGGGGACAATATCAGCAACTATTGAAGAAAAAATGCTGGCAGAATGGTAAAGTTCCCAAAGCTGAGTGGGGCTGCACTGGAATTCATCATCATGAATGGTCCAAGATGGCACTCTTTGATTTTCTGTTGCAGGTAAAATGTTTGCTGAACACAACTATTTGCCTCATAAGTCATGGGAGCAAACATAGAATTTTCAGAAGTAATTTTAGTGTATTTCATATTTTTAAATGGGGAATATGGATATTTATAAAGTTTGAAATTATTTCTGGTTATGTCTTATGATTAAGATGTCCAAAATGAAGCTTATAATCAGACAGGAAACCTAACTGACTAATTTATTTTTAAAGAGGAAGTAAAGGCTTTTGACTTTATTTATTTCACCTTGAGGCAGGCATGCTGTTTCTCCTTCACTCCTTGTTTCTCCAAATAGAGATCTTGACTGTGTTTACAACTGTAAATCTCTGTTTACTCTGTGGTCCTTCCTGCACCTCCCCAGCCCCAAGAGGTGACTGAAGTGGTTTTGGTGAGCTGCAATCTGGAGCAAGGTAACAGTTGTAGTAGATAATTTTTCCTTTTAAAAAAAAACAAACCTAGAGAGTGACTTAGTAAACAAGGAGTAGAGCAGCAACTGATGAATGATAAATCTGCTGTTCTATTATCCAGAAGGAGTGGTTGGTTAAAATAAGATACAATAGGATTGAAGTTTGCATGACAGGAGACAAATTACTCTTGTACTAACAGCTGGTATCAGAGTGATTTATATCTCCTATTGCCTACCAGACCAGAACATGCATTCCAGAAAGTGAAAGTGACTCTCATAGTTCTTAAAGACTACAATTTTATCTGCATGCTCTCAAAGTTTATCAGCAGCAGAATATGGAGATTTGAAAACAAAAAAAATGCCAAGAAAGGGTTCTGTATTAAAAAAAGTAAAAATCTGTGCTTCCTGAGTCATTCAGAAGCAAAAAATAATGTGAAATGTATTCTCTATTAAGCATAAGTCCCTCAGAAGAGGTTTGACATCTCTAATAGATCTTCCTAATCTCTGGTTTCAAATGCTGTAAAGAACTTATCAGCAGGATATAAAATACTTGTAGTTGACCTTTACTTGCCTCCTGCAAGAACTCAGGCAAAACGTATTTTTTAATTTTGGGGGTTTGGACCTCTTATGTACATAGATGTATGACAGAAAATTCTGCTAAACTGCATGCATCAATTCCAGAGTGTTCCATCATTATGTCTAGTGCAGAAATGGTGCAATACATTATGAAGAGGTTGTCTGTAAGAACAAGATCTCCTTGTCTATTTAATGCATGTAGAGAAGTGCAAAGGAATGGGGTCTATACATCAAAGGAGTCTGTCTAGAAGGACTCTGATTTACTTTTTTACCTTTGGATGAATTGACTGAGAGATCCCAGGAGGGAACACTGGAAGCAAGAGGGGCTCTACAGCCTTCAGATAATGAATGCTGCCCATGAAAAGAGAAAGAGGAAGAGATGTCTGTTCCTTTCCTCAGGATTTTGATATTTGGAAACAAAACACAGCAATACAACTAGAAATAGAACTACATATAAAAAACCCCTAACAAAATCAAAACAATCCAAATTATCAGACTTTCATTTGATTAAAGAGATGACCTTTTCATTCAACATGCAACAAAATTCTGCATCAGGTGAGGTCCTAATGGTTCATTTTGCTGGGGTGCTACAAAAAGAAAATTGTAATTTTCGAAGGCTTATGAGAACAGTGATGCTTTTATGCTTAAAGCAGTTTGAAGAGTTGACAGTAAACAATGAAGGACAGAAAAAATGAGCTTTGATGAGCTACTCATTAAGTCTTATATGCACCAGACCACACTTCCACTCTCTAAACACCTGTTCGCAGGAGCAGGTCTGCTCTTTGGGAAGATGAGCTGGAGCCAAAGGCAGCTCTAGGACAGGCAGGCCAGCAGGAAGGATGGTGAAAGCCACAGGCCCCATTTGTAGCCCTGTGAGCGTCAGGCACAGACAAGCAGTTCCAAGACTGACAAGCAGGAATCTCAATCAGCATCCCAGGAACAAACAGCACAAAACACCCCCACAAACCCCTTTCTCTGAAGGACTCAGAGGAGGCCTGAGCTGCCTGAGCTTAATGAGGGTTCCTGTGCCCATCAGCAAAGGTGGGGCATGTGGATGTCCAAGGTGAGACTTCTATGGGCAATCCAGGAGTATTTGTGTGCTCAGGGCTGTAGCAGTGTTAAATATTTTACTCTTATCTACTCTCAAGAGGTAGAAGCACTTTCAAGGAGTGATTTATCCTTCCTGTATTAGGTGTATTATCCTAAAATGACATCCATTGGACTGGATGTGCCTTGTTCTTGTCATTCTTTATGAAATGGAACAGAAACGACCAAGTCAAAAGTGATGACTAACATTTGCACCACCAGAGTTAGGCCAGATTTATGTATTCTTTCCATCTAAGTGCTGTGTGATGAATATTCAAGGGTCTGCATGGGAAAATGTACTCTAGACCATTATGTCATAAAAGTATATACCACAGAGAGGCTGCTGTGTGATTATAAATACGCTGTTCTTACATTTTATAACTTTTGTGCCCCTCACTGATCTTTTCAGTTATTTTGCATATTTTAGCCTAATAGATCCCACCAAATGAAAATCCTCTGTGTGTGTCAGACTGTGCTATTTCTATTGTTCTCCAGCAGAGCAAATGTAAAAAAAACACAAAACCAAACCACTTCTGACAAAGAAAAGAGACTTGTATTCACCAGCCTGTTATTCCAGTTACACAGTGGTATTGTTCTATTATTTTCAAAGGATTTCTACTGGTATTACAGATCATGGCTATAAAATGGATAAAATACAATCTGAGAAACTGCTTTTAATAGTACCTGAGGTATGAGGACCAGATCTTTCCTGCTGTTTCTTTGTCTTTAATTACACTTGTCCTGAGCTTGCTTTGCTGTCATCTGGGTTAGAGAGTAATGTCTTACAGTGACACTTTGCCCCAAGTAATTTGGTATTGTTTTCACTTGGCACTCTGCTGTACTTTGTTTTAGATCTATAATCGACTAGACAGAAACTGTTGTGGATTCAAACCTCTCAAGGAGGATTCCTGCATGCAACAAGGACTAAAGCTGAAATGCAATGATCAGGATGCTGTTAACCTGACACACATTGTTCAGAGAAGGAATGACCAAAGGCATTTGGCCTTTATAGACAATAAAGGTTTCTTTGACAGAAATGAGGACAATCTTGACTTCAAAATACTCCAAGGAATCAATGAGTAAGTTTTAAATTATTAATTTTGTAAAAAGTTTGATAATTTCTTTCCAGTTTGAGTATGAGACACTAAACTACTGGAATATATATCATTGGCCCAAGACATTGACAGGATGTATCTAAAAATGTATAAGTAATCCCACAGCTGTAAATGATACAATTAACATACATATGATTAGGAATGCATGGACTTCCTTTGCTGAATCACAGCCTATATTTGTACAATTGATTGCTAAACCACAACATAAATACTGCAATTCAGACTAATGGCAAAAACTGATGAACTTCTTTGTGCTTTTCCAGATTCCCTGCATCTGCAGTTTCAGTTCTGAGGAGCCAGCATTTACGTGAGAAGTTGCTCCAGTCTTTGTTCCTTGACAAAATATACTGGGAGAGCCAAGGAGGCAGAAAAGGAATTGAAAAGCTTATTGATGTAATAGAAAGGAGGTCCAAAATTCTTCTTACTTATATAAATGCACATGGAGCCAAAGTATTGCCCATGAATGAATGAAACAGTCTTGTTTCCATCTGAAAAAAAGTCTTTAACCTTTTTTTTATGGTGCAGAAACTGATGGTAAAATTGATTTAATTCATAGCATTATTTTTTTCCCAAACTTTGAAACTTACTTTTAAATAAGAAATCTTACATGGTTTGAAAGCAGAATTTAAATGTTATCTGCAGCTCAACACACTTTAGTCTCTTCTATGTCACAAGCAAAATGAAAAATAACTGAATGACAATATGCAGTAATATGTAGGTACCATGAACACTCTTTCTGTTAAATTAGCAATAGGATTTTCAGTTCATTAGGCTGGGTTGCTCTTACTTTCCTCATTGAAGTCAGTAGAATATTTTATTGCAAGTTTAAATGGGAAAAGAGATGTGTAAGCACTTGATACATTGATGACACTTGCTGAAACATATATAGTACAGGAATTTTTTCTTTTATTAGGTATACTAAAATGCCAAAATTTCCAAGGGCTTATTTTATTTTATTTTGATCTTCCGAAATCTGAGAACTAAATTCAGCTCTTTTAAATGCAGGAGTGTTTGTGCTGGACATGAGGGCATTTTAAAAACAGAGTGAGGAGAGCGTGGCTTTAATAATAATAATTATTTTGACAAATACAATTTTTACTTGTCCAGTATGGATTAAACTCATCATGAGTCACTCATTGAAATATGCATTTTTCAATGCAACTTCATGAGTCACTCATTGAAATATGCATTTTTCAATGCAAGTTCTGATGTGTGGATAGATGATCTGATATTTTCTGTCTATTGATTAACTGGGTATTTTTTTAAAAAAAATAGCTTTAGCTTTGTGGGAATATGTTGCTAAATAAGTACATGTTTTTGTTTTTGCAAAATTCTTGACAGTATTTTCTGAGAATATTATCAAAAGGCAGACCTCCTAACAAGAGTGTTAAACAGAAAGAGAATATCAATTGATACAGCCAATCATCACATACACCTTCAACCTGTTTGTTTAGAAAAACTCTTACCATGTTTTTAGAGAAATATCTTTTTGCCATGAGGTAATGGTAGAAGTCAGATACTTTTATAGCTACTCTTATTTTATGTATCATAAAAATATATAGGGTGTGAAAGAATTTTGAAAGTCCTTGTGTGATGTTATTAATGACAAACTAAAATGTCTCATGTCACTGTTAATGTGGATGGGTGAGTTTAATGTTTTAAATAACTACAATTCCACTGCAGCTAAAATCAGTTTTCTTTCTTAGTATCAGAAAACCCATTAACAATAATTGCATTACTAGAAGAAACATCTCATTATGAGCAGAGTTAAAAAGACTTAGTAAAATTTCAAGACTTTAGCCAGCTAAATAATATTTTATTTTATTTTATTTTGTCAGCAAAGTACAGATCAATTTGTTACAACTTCCTAGAACTTAACTATTGCCTCAAGAGGATGTGTTATAGAGTGCCTTGGACTTTCTAACACCAAGGTAGAATTTTACGGGATTTCCAATTTATCCATTTTTTAAAAGTGTTGTAACTTACTAGCCAGATAATTTTCATCACAGAAACAAAAATATTACTTTGGCTCGCACTGTGAACAGAGTCTAGAGAAAGAAATAATCCACAGGATACATTTCACATGGAATTCCTCTTGCAGTGGATTTCACTCTATGATG